ACAGTAACTCTGTGCAGTAACTCTGTGCAGTAACTCTGTGCAGTAACTCTGTGCTGTAACTCTGTGCAGTAACTCTGTGCAGTAACTCGATGCAGTAACTCGATGCAGTAACTCTGTGCAGTAACTCGATGCAGTAACTCTGTGCAGTAACTCTGTGCAGTAACGTGGTTAGTAGTTTCCCAGTCTTGTAACCCTAAGGCTGCAGGTCTGAACCCAGGCTGCATCATGAAGGACATGCGGTGTAAAACAAACACTAAGTGTCACACAGAGGTCACACAGAGGTCACACAGAGGTCACACAGAGGTCACACAGAGGTCACACAGAGGTCACTGGCTCTGCTGAGTCCTGCAGAAGCAGCAGCCATAAAACAACAAACTGCTCATTCTGACAGTTAAATATGAATGAAAAGTCTTAGATTCAAGATTAAATCATGTTTAAACAGTTATTTAGAGAATAAACCCTCCTGAACCTGTAAGGTTCCGTTTAACAGTGGAATATTTTCTGGACATCATTCAAACTCAAAGTGAACTCCTGATGAGTCAAACATGACGCAGTTTTAATGTTTCTTCTTCTTTTTTCTCCTTCGCAGCACAATGAGCTCAAATTAAACCATCTGACCAAAGGTTTAATGAAGGTTTTTCATGAAAATGTTTGTTTCTGTCCGTTAGTGGTTTTAGTGCAGCAGGAAGATTTAAAGTAACATTATTTCCACCATGTTTCCTTATAAATACAGCTCAGTTTGGGAGATATATTCTGCAAAACATGACTTTTATTTGTGTGACTGTATCCTTCCTGAGAGCTGAACGAGTTGATGCAACATGAAGGACGTGACTTTTTACTGGCAGGGTGACTTTCAAAACTTTGGTCTGAAATAAAAGAGGAACTGAGATTATTGTGAGAAAAAGTGTTAGATTAGAACAACAACAGAACAGATTAAACAAGGCAGACAGAGCTGCTGGACTGGAATAAAAACAATAAATACTCATTTATATATTATACTATGATATATACAAGATATTATACATTTTGTTGGATATAATTCAGAAATAACTTCAAATCAATAAAACCTGTTTCTGTATTATTTAACTTTTTACCATCAAACTTAGTTGCTACAATAAAAACTTTCTAAAACTTTTAAATTTGTGGACTCAGTACTACGAACATGATGTACAAATACATAAATAAACACATCAGCAGCAACAACCAGAACTCTGTTAGCAAAATATCTCAGAAACCAGCTTAAAGGAAGGAGGTCCTCAGATCTGAACTGGTCCACAGATCTGACCTGGTCCACAGACCTGACCTGGTCCACAGACCTGACCTGGTCCACAGATCTGACCTGGTCCACAGACCTGACCTGGTCCACAGACCTGACCTGGTCCACAGATCTGACCTGGTCCACAGACCTGACCTGGTCCACAGACCTGACCTGGTCCACAGATCTGACCTGGTGGTCCTCAGAT